TGGGGGATAAAAGTGACATGAGTTTAAGCCCCCTATTCGCTTGCTCTAGAACTGCAGAGGGGGTTTAATGGACAAATGTTTAAAGGGGGATAACTCAAGAACCGATGGATGGATCATCGTGATTTTTGGTATGTAGGTAGCTTGAGTGATGCTTGACATAATGATATTACAATTATGCAAATATGGATATAATTTGTATAATTAATGAGGAAATTCTATTTATCAGCTGCATTCCATAATAGGAAGTTCAAGCTTGTGACATGTTATTAAGAATGAGAGAAACACAGGCAGATATCGATTATGCAAATGAAGACTTAATTTGCATAATTAATGAGAAAATATTATAATTGCATAGTGGTAACTGCCTGTAATTTTATACTTGGGGTGTTTGAAAGTTTAGTTAAGGTGAACATAATTAAACATAACTTATTCAAATAAGCACCTCATTTGCATAATTTAATCATGGCATTCTTTGTTAAGATAAGACTGTCTTTTGGTGGAGAATATGATCAACAGATATAATTCATGCAAATGAGGATCTTATTTGCATAATAAGGGGGATTAATATATAATTTCTTAATCATAATAGCTAACATCATTTGGCGAAGGTATGAGATCGTGGAACTCTAGTTTTGATAATATTTTGCCAGCCGTATATGCACGTAAATGAGAGAATAATGTGTTGTCTTCTGTTTACATAATAGCAGTAGATTGTAATCTCAACCTACCTTCATTGACGTTTTGGTGTGAAGCCATATTGTGACTGACACCGGTGCTTCTACCGTCAGCCTTTTGGTTAGGTTCTTCTTCTATTGAACTCATCGTCAACCAAAGAAGTAAAACATTGAAAATCGTCACTATTGTTTTAGCGACAAATTCTGACAAGAATGACTGAACCAACACTGCAGTAGCTGTAATGTTATGAGTTTTTGTCAAAGCCAAGTCTCAATGTTGAATACGTAGACTAATCAGGTAAGATCTCATGACACTTTGGTCAAAGTTCAAACAGAAGACGATACACTTAAAAAAATCTGATGTTCAATCCGAGAAGCAATCTTGCTTTCAACGATGAGTCTGCACTCCTGATAGAAACGTTGACAACGCCCACGGGTAAAATTGATGATCCCCAGAGATGATACACTTGTATAGTAAGATTCTACCAGAAAGAACAACATAATAGAAATTATCGCGTTTTTGCTCAAAACGATTCCAACCTATACCTAGAAACTGTAGGTTCTATGTCAACAAATTGCAAAACCACTTTGCCACATATTGATGGATATAAACACGTAAGCTTTAAGCATTGCGTCATAACTCTTTTATTTACATGGGTTTTCAAGCCTAGAATGATGTTTTGTTTCCAAATCACGTATTCATGTAAACATGTGTACGGTATAAGCTTGAAACGTCAACTTAAACAAATATTGCTGATATCTAAAAAGCTAAGTAAAAGCAGAAGCTATGATGAATTAACTAAATAGATAAAAAAAAAGTAACACAGATAAGAACGAACGTTTAGATGTTTCATCAAGTCCTAGCCTCCTTGGTAGAATTGTTATAAAAAAATATTATTCTACGCAATATGACGCAAGACTTAAAGGTTACGTGTTTATTGCATGAATCATTCATATTAAATAGGTGGCAACTTGGTTTTGGAAGAGATTAGTTTTGCACATGTTTGCTTTATG